AGAAATACTCTTTTCAACTTCTTTCTCCTCGCATTTTCTTTCTCCTCTCAAAGAAATACCTTAAGATTTTGGATTTTGGTAATGAACTCCACTGCTTTTTTAATGTTACAATTGAAATTGGTTAACTATTAATTGAAATTGGTTAACTATTACACCTAAATTTTTATACTTACGAGCATATCATTTAATCCTTAACTTCACATAAGAATTGAGTGATGTGTATGGATTGGTGGAATATTGAACTGTCATTAGGGGAGGTTTTGGGGTCTTCTGCTACTGCTATTACTTGAATACCTATTCACTAGGAGAAGAATGATTCTTTACTCCTAAAAATACCTGTTAAGGTTTTGATCTCTAAATTTATATATGAGTAGTAATTCTCTTATGAAAATTTGATATTGAGGGGGGGGGGGATGTTGCCTATGTAAAACCGTTGAAGAAAGTTCTAACCCTTTATACCATGACTGCACTTAGATTGCAGCCTTTTGTTACTTGGTGGAGTGGAAGGCATGTAATTTCTGTTTTCTCCAATAAGCTAATAATCATTTGCATATTTCCAATGTCCATACTCTTCACAAGTTTGGCACTGCTTTGCTAACCTTTTTAAGAAAAGAATTTCCTCAAGTTGGAATAATCTTAACAATTGTTGGTTGTTTTATGCTTGTGGGGGCACCAGGAAAGCATTATATGCTTATTTTCAATTTATTTTTACGTGGTTTTTATGGATGACAGAATTCTAGTAAGCACAATGCAAACTCCCTCACCGCTATCATGGCTAATATTTCGGCATATCTTCACAAACTGGGTTGCTTGAAGCTTTTAAAGGTTCTTTTCTGTTAGCTCTGGATTGGTGGAAAATTGAGGTTACCTCCCTTCCCGTACAACTTTTCTGTTGGTTGTGTAAGGTGCAGTTTTTTGTTTCTCTATTTTTGTGTATGTTGCGGGTTAGCTGTGTGCAGTTTTCTATTTTTCTGTTTTGTGTATGCTGCGGGTTTGCGGTGGCTTTTATATGTATGTGAATGTCGATGCATTTTGTTATGTCCTTTCATGAACTGGTTATGGGAGGGACTAATGTATGATTCAAAGCTATGTATCTTCCTCTTCATTGTTTTAATAAAGTTGTTTGCTTCCTTTCCCGTGGATGTAGGTCATTTTGACCGAATCACGTAAATTATTAGGTGTCCTTATTTACATTTCAAATTCTTTATTTAAATTGTTTGTTTTTATTCAATATGAATCTTCTGAATTATGTCACTGTTGTGTTTCATTTCTTTGATTTAGCATTGTATTAACATGGCTAGTAAGGCTAAAGAGCTTGCTACACCGTGTGAATATGAGCTCAAGGATTTCCGAGTCTTCCCGTCAAGTCCCGTGCCACTGTGACCTCCAAACTTCCCTGCTGACGTCACGTCGGGCACATAGCTACTGGAGAAAGTTTTATAGTTGCCCACGGAGCATCACAAAATAATGCAATTTCTTCCGTTGGGCAGACAATTCGGTGGATTCTCCCGACGACGATAATCGGGAATGGAGAACATCTTGAGAGGAAAGTCTAGCTCGGGAGCTATGCCGTGTGAATGTTAACAATATTATAATCATCTTATTAATCGCCATTGTAAATGTTTTTGACTTTTTTTTTAACGCTCCTGATACTCACCGTTATTTGAGATGTGTATTTGTAATTTTGTAATGCTTTTAATTAAAATTAAGGCTTAAAACTATTTCTTAATGATTATGAACGATTATTTTTTATTCTAATACAATGAAATTAGCTCCTACAGTTTGCAGTCTATTATTTAGCATCACTTATATTTACAGATCTAACACATAAGCTTTGCATTTTACATTTATACCAAACACAAAAATATATTTTTAAAAATTTAAAATGGTACAATTTTAAATTTCATATAAAATATTTGAGTGGTATAATTGAAAAATTAAACTATAGGTTTAAATTTCTTATTCAAAATTAGATAATAGTTATATATATATATATATATATATA